TAGATTCTTCCCTTTTCTTCACCTCTCCCATTGAATTCATTAGCAAGACCAAAGAGTTAAACCTTCCAAATGGATGTCAAATACATCTATAGTCATGTATCACTTAAAGATAGAGATATAATCTAAGAAATGCATTGTTAGGTGATTTTGTCACTGTGTAAACATCATGGAGTGATGCTTACAGAAACCGAGGTGGGATAGCCTAATACACGCCTAGGCTATATGGTACTGCCTGTTATAACCGTAAGCAACCACTGTTGCAAATGTGGTGTCATTGACCAACAGGTCATTATATGGCACATTACTGTACTTCAATCTATCTCTGTTGCTACCATCTAAATACCAGTGTTCATCCTCTAATGATTCTGCCTTCTTAGTAGTCAGTCTATCTCTCTTTAGTTTATTCACTTATTTCTATTGAAGAAGAGAGAGAGAAAGAGGCACCACCAACAGGGTCCCTGTGCCACCATCCACCCCCAGCCTCAGTCAGCTGAGGTCGGAGTCACATGTGCATGCACCAGGTGTGCAGAGGGAGGCTCTGGGATATGAACTGAGGACTTTCCCATGTGGGTCCAGTTGTGTTACCCTTGTGTCCCCATCTGGCCCTGGTCTCAATCTATCCACCCCACAACAGCTTTTGTGATCTTATCAAATACAAATTGGATCACATTTAAAGTCTTTTCGTGGCTCACCAAATCACATAAGAATGTGAAATTTGTATTCTAACATGACCCATAAGTCCCTGTGTCACCTGGTCACTGCCTACATCTCCAGCCTCATCTTGAACCACAATCTTCCTTTCTCACTGCACTATGCCCATGCTGTGCTTTTTTTCCCCATTCCTCACACACTCCTTGGGCCTTTTTCAGGGACAGCTTTCTCCACATTCCTTCATTTCTCCCATCTTTCCAAAACTAGTTCTCTCACTTCATTTGGGTTCCTGCCACGTATCACTTCCTTGACCACTTCATCTAAAGCTGGCCCTCATACTCCCCTGTTTCAACAATCTTCTGTGTTTTCTTCATAGCAGTTATAAGTTGCAAATATATATTTTTTTCTTTTGATAACTGTATGTCTTTCCCACTAAACTATTAACTCTATGGATGTAGGGACAAAGACAGTTTTGTTCACTCTTTCATCCCAAATATATATTACAGCATTGGTCTGACACATAGCAATATCAACTGTTATTATTATCTGCATATATTGATTTTCAAGTCACTGGATCTGGGACTCGAACCCTGGTTGGCCATATGGGAGTCCAGTGACGTAACCACTATGCCATCTGCTGGTCCCATTAATTTTCACTGTTGTACATTTGACTTAATGGCTTTATGATGATTTTTAAATGATTTTATAATGTTATGAGAACAAAGAGGTAGTGCATCTGCCATTTAGTGCTATGAGACTGTAATACTTAAGGTGAAGTCCTTTTGCCTCTTTGAAACTCAGTTTTTTCTTCTATAAAATGGGGATATTCATTCATTCAATCACTATTTATTGAATATCTATTGTGTAAAGCACCCAGGATATAATCATACACATATCACAAAGTCATTGGGGGAATGTGCCAGATGGCTCGTAGTCAACACCCAATAAACGTTGCTGTTATTTTTGGCTTACGAACAATTTAAAGCATCAAATTAACACCAAGACTTGTAATAAATGTAGAGACTACTAACATGTACTTAGGAGACATCGAAATCCAGACTTCCATAAATTAGAAGACTAGCAAAGCTCATTCCCTTGGGCGGGGACTTATGGGAAGCCTGACTCAGGCATGCAAAGGCTTTTGAACCAACCCTAAATGTATCTCCTCCTCACTTTGCATGATCAGTTAATCATTGAAGTTGTTTCCTGTTTCGTTTTGTTTTGCTTTTTGTTTTGTTTTTGTCCTGCATAAGAGCTTCATACAGAATAAATTTTACTATACCTGCAAATATTCTATTACCATTTTTTCCTTGTTTTTATTTTATTTTTTAATTTTTTTATATTTTTGGAGAGGCTTTTAGCTATAGGGTGCATGTACTTGCCAGACAGACAGAGACAGAGAGACAGAAAGTGAGAAGTCACCCCCTCGGGGGATGGCACACCACAATCCCTTCTCCTCCATTCTCCTCTTGGGATCTTGGGCACACAGCGTAGAGCACTGCTTGGGCCACATGCACCCAGTGTGAGTTTAAGCCACTGGGTCCGGGACTTGAATCACAGTCGACTACATGAGAGTCCAGTGACATAGCCATTACACTAACTGCTGGTCTCAACACCACTTTCAAGTCGACTATGGAACCCAGAGTCCTGGCCTGGGACCTCATTTCCCTAATTGCAGATGTGCTAGGCTGACAACTGAACATCTGGCACAGAGCAAGTTAATCTTCATGAATATGTTCATTTTCCTGAGTCACCTTAGTTACCTTGGTTACATCTGGTTCAGGAAAAAAAAAAAAAAAACTCAGTTGCTTTAATGGCAAAATAAGAAAATTTTCATAAAATTTTACAAGATACAAAGTGCATGGGCTCTTTGAGACTAAGATGAAATAAACTCTACCTGTGAAAATACCAAATAATAGGGGCCAGCAGATGGAATAGCAGTTGTGTCACTGGACTTCCACATGGCTGACTGCAGTTTGAGTCCCAGACCCTGGGGCTCAATAATCACACTAGGTGGATGTGTGTGTCCAACATCCCGGGAGGAGAATGGAGAAGAAGGAATTGCAGCGTGGCCATCCCCCTGAGGGTTGATTTCTCACTTTCTCTCTGTGTCTCTGTCTCTCTCTCTCTCCAGCAAATGTGCACACCCTAAGGCAAAAACCTTAAAAAAAGAGGAAATACTAAATAATAAAAATAAGGCACATGTCAGCTGTTGGACGCCCTGGTTTTTATACAACAAGCTCCTCAAGTATGTTCCTAGAATACCTAGACACGCCATCAAAGGCTGAACAGACACTTACTTTCATGTGCAAGGCTGGTACTGGCAGGGCCCCAACTGGGCGAGACATACATTTTCTTACCTAGAGAAGAAGAAGAGGGTGTGATTGGAAATGAAATCTCTGGGACTGATTTAGAAAAGTGCTCCACATTGCCTGCCCCTCGGTTCATAAACACCTGGCATATCTTCTCTTAACAGATGCTACAAAAACAGGAAAGCTTCTCTTTTTAGGCCCCTTGGACCTCATTCCCATCTTCTAGGCACTGTTCCTGATTAATGGTCATTGACTTTCTCAACAGTCACCAGTTACTACAACTGATGTCAGCTTTGGTAGGAGAATATGAAGAGTTCACAGCAGTTGAGACTTTGGCAGCCTACATTTGTTGGTGAATGTGTCTGGAGGTTTCGGGAACAGTATAACGCCTGCATTATACTGTGACCATGATGTGCCTGGCATATAGTAGATGCTCACTAAATATTTGCTGATTTGGATTTGAACTATATAGAGTTGTTATGTTTGGAAGGTGATGATTTGAACCATCTGTGTTCTAACCAACCGTTGAAACAGGGCTCCGCTGTGTGTATGCACAGGCATATGTACACACACAGTCGTCCTAACTTTCCTTCTGAATCCAGTAGAAGATTTTTGAAAAAGAGTACAGGGATAGGAATTTTCTCAGATTTCTCAAACATAAAATTTTTTATGATTTAGTTTCTACCTACATTCCTAATCAAACTCTGGAGATGATGGAGTGGTATTTTAACAGGAAATTTGTTTTCAACATTAGGATGGAATACAGTGCCTGACTTAGGTAGGCTTTGCTGAACAGTCCCTTTGTGTACTACATGCTTAGTTCAGAGTAAAAATAGCTTCCAATGATTGCTCTCAGGCATGGAACACAGAGAGTGTGTGGGCTAGGGAGTTACATAAGAAAATGTATCCAGAGGACAGAATGCCAGAGGATACCATGAAATTATAAAACATATATTGTTGAAAGTACTTCAAATGAAAGACAAGTCTTGATTTTATTTTTGTGTGTGTGAAAATATAATACAGGTCAATTTGTTCCCATCATTTTGCAAAAAGAATATTGCTTCCTGATAGGAAGCACTTGTTATTTGTTGGTGGAGCTGGACAGGGGTGCAGCAGTGAAAACACAATGCTTTGAGAGGCTGGTCCACATGGGAAGACTCCCAGTTCATGTCTGGAGACCTCTCTGAGAACACTGAGCTCATGTATGTCCATGTTTCAGGGCTGGCTGAGCTTGGGGGTGGATCAAGTGATCAAGATCGTGTTCTGGTGCTGTTTCTCCCTCTCCATCTCTTTCTCTCTTTGTATGTCTCTCTCCCTCATATGAAAAAAAACCTATTTTTTTTCTATTTTTGGAGAGGTTTTTGCTATAGGGCGCGTGTGCTCGCCAGACAGACAGAGAGAGACAGAGAGACATCTCTCTTTGTATGTCTCTCTCCCTCATATGAAAAAAAACTATTAAATAAATATTCATTGGATTGGTGAGTGAATGAAGAAGTAAGTGAGCCTTAAGGGTGTTTTTAGTTGGGGGGGGGTGGTGGTCAGAGAGTGAGAGCCCAAGGGAAGCCCAGCAAGAGAAGCCCAGTCCACAGGAGTGACCTAACGACAGGCAGGCACTGTTACCATGTCTCCAGGCAGCAACAGGGCTACCTCTACAATTGCTTTGAATTTTAATGTGAGGAGCAGATGGTTGGTATAGATTGCCCTTGTTTTGCCCAGGAGCCTGGCAACATTGCAAGTTGCCAACATGTCTGGAGGATAGAGTTTGAGCCTGTAGGTACGTCACAGAGTTCTGCTTTGCAAATGGATTACTTAGTGGCTCCCACCCAGATAAATGTGTGTGTGTGTGGGGGGGGAGGTCCTATGATTTTAGGCAGAAGTCCATCACTTATCTAGGGAAAGGCCAAGTCAACAGACTGAAGTCAATATTTCAAACCAGGTCTGGCTGGCTGGCTATTTATGTAACCCATTAGCCATTAAACTATGAACATTGATGAAGCCTACTAACGATACATGGAATGTTTACGCTGAGCATTCTGTCCCTTAGCTTCTCTCCATCCAGGTGGCAACAGTTAGTCTTAGCACCCCATCTTATGTATGCCAACTTGCTCTCTCACAAAACCAATCAGAGGTGATCCTCTAAGTAGCCATAGGCATTTCCTTACAGTGAGTTGAGCTGGGAGACAGGTTGAGGAACGATCCCGAGCTTCCGGCTATTTGGACAGGGTTGTACTCCTCCCTCCTGGCAGATTCCTGAGGATGGGCTAAGCATCTGTCTTGCTGGAGGAGACTTAGGAGAGGCTCACATTTCCCATCCAGCTGGGTCTCTGGAACCAGGTGCCCTGCAGGATAGGCATGAGAGTAGCCAGGCTCTGGGGAGCTGGGGCTGGCCAAGGAGGAGAAATGCCACAGCTCTCCAGGATGAGCAGAGGGGCTCCCATTCAGGGACATGGGGTACTGATCCACATTCATGGGATCAGACATAAAGCTGCAGTTAGCATCACCATTTGCAAGAGATGCTCCTGGCTTTGTCCATGGAGAAGAGAAATGCCACTGATTTGGAGCCATGTCACTATCTGGGAAGGAAAGATTTAGAAGACACATTAGATGTTTATTGTTTTCCAAATGGAAGTAGCTTTGTTGTTTTACTGGCTAATACATTTTATATATATATATATATAACATACACACACACACACACACACACATACATAAACTTGAAGGCAATATAGAAAAGATTTTTTTAAAATTATCCTAATTATAATAATCAGAGATATTCATCATGCACCTTTAGGTGTACTTCTTTCTAAGATTTGTTTCCATTCATATATGTACTGTTTCACAACACATATTGTTATTTAAGCCACTTTTGCATTTTTTAAAATGTCACAAATTTCCTTCCATAGCAATAACTAGAGCCAAACACCAGCTTTTGTTTTTGCTATTTAAAAATACATTTATTTTGTAATTTCTCATTTATATTTATTTTTCTTTTTACTTTCTTTTTTTTAGAGAGATTTTTTGCTATAGGGCACATGTGCTTGCTGGAGAGACAGAGAGAGACAGAGAGACAGAAAGTGGGCAATCAACTCCCAGGGAGGATGGCCACACTGCAATCCAAACTCTAACCTTCTCTTCTCTGGAATTTGGACACATACACACGCATGTGCCTGGCATAAGTTTCAAGACACCAGGTCTGGGATTTGACCTGTGGTCCACTACGTGGGAGTCTAGTGACATAACCATTACACCATCTGCTGGTCCCCCTTTCAATATATTTTAAAAGTCATCCATTCACATTTTGAGATCTGTAAGGTTTGTTTAAAATATAGAAACAAGATCCTCAGGAGTTGCTGAGAAACTTTATGTGAGACTCAATTGAAACTTTTTCTGATGGCTGCTGATATGTTCCTTGGAGTTTATGTAGAAAACACATATAAAGTGGCATTTGGAAAATTAATCTAATGGTTTATAGCCAAAAGAGACCAAATAAGAAGACATGGAACCCATTAAATGGGCCTGGTCTAAAGGAGTAGGAGCTGGACTGGCAATGAGATTTGAACGACGGGCTTGGCAAGATTCAGAACACATGCGTTGGTGTAGTACCACTGAATTATTCTCAGTAGATAATACAGAAGTTGGGTTGGGGGTTAAAGAAAGCCATTTGTCCTCTGCCAGCAAAGCAGGACAGTTCACAGCAGCCTCAGAGAGTGAGTGAAACTTGCCTTGAAACCCCAGCCTTTTAAATGACTATACAGTGTTTCATCATAAGACAGTAACAAGACCAGCAAATGTCATATTTGTGGGAAAAAATCAGCTATGTCCATCCTTCATTATGTTAACAACATTACAATGAGCATCTTTATTTGATCTTTGTACCCTTTCTTCCTTCGTCCGACTATCTCCTTGAGGAAATTTTTCTAGAAGTAAAAGTGCTTTACTTGTGTTTGGATTTTATAGCTGGCGTTTTAAGTACAACAAATAGGGGAACTCCATAGAACCCCTTTATAAAGGAGTTAATGCTTGCCTGTGTTAGGCCATTCATACAACTCTAGGGGTTGAAACTCTATTTTCTTTCTTTTCGTTTCTTTCTTTTTATTTGAGAGGTTTTTGCTAAATCCATTATCCTCCATTCTCCTCAGGATCTTGGGCACGCATGCACACATTCTCAGCATGAGTTTAAGTCACCGGGTTGAGACTTGAACCGCAGTTGGCCACAAGGGAGTCCAGCAACGTAGCCATCATGCTAACTGCTGGTCCCTGAAACTCCATTTTCAAGAGAGTGCAGGGATGTTAGGAGACTAGACGACAGTAGCAAAGCATATTAGCCAATCAGGGAACTGAGTGGGAGCAATGAGTGATGGATAGAGAAGTAGAGTTTAAGTCACCGGGTTGAGACTTGAACCGCAGTTGGCCACAAGGGAGTCCAGCAACGTAGCCATCATGCTAACTGCTGGTCCCTGAAACTCCATTTTCAAGAGAGTGCAGGGATGTTAGGAGACTAGACGACAGTAGCAAAGCATATTAGCCAATCAGGGAACTGAGTGGGAGCAATGAGTGATGGATAGAGAAGTAGTTACTTGACCCTCATCCTACAAAAGCAAAAAGCTAAGGGTCAGGAAGTGACTCGGTTTCTTCCTACAAAGTTCATGTGGACTGGCTAGCAGGGATGGGGTCTCCTTTGGCTCCACAGATACTCCTCTGATTGTTTCTACTGTAATGGCTGAATCTGAGATCTCAAACGTCTAGGACAGCTCATGACATGGATGACTATTTTCCCCATTCTCAACACCCACTCAAAAAAGGGAAAGAGCTCTGCCAGATGGTGCTTAAATTGCAGAGCCTCTCATCTAGTCAAGATAATGGAGGGGGGTTGTGGGTGTTAAAACAAAGGAAGACTGGCCGGCTGGAAAGGCTGTCTGGGACACTGTTCCCCTTGCCCTCTGCGTGCACCTCTCCTCGCTCTTCTGAGTGTTCCATTTGAATGGATTATGTAAAACATAAAAACATTCGAGAGGCCTGTTCACTGCTACTGGAGTGCTTCCACCTCCTCCTGTAACCTTCCATGTAATACTGATGATAGGAACAAAAGAAACTCCAACCCATGTGACTCAAGTGTTCTGCTCACAATCTCACTCTGTTCACAACAAGCCATAGGCAATGCTTGGTCTCTTTCAATGACACAATGGACAAGGACATATATTAAGATGTATTCTTGGGGATGAGCGCTATTTTCAAAAATTGATATCTCTAGGCCAGTAGCAAGTCAAGATACTGAGTGGCCCAAGTGGAGAGATCAAGCTAATTTGGTATAATCACTGTTCATGGTTCATACTGAATGAAGGCACTGCATATCCTAATCATAAATTAGAAACAAAGTGTAGCCTCTGACTACTGGGTAAATTGGCTTTACAGATCTCATACATATGACCTAGGTGCTGAATGCTTGAAATGTGAAAAGCAGGGTTCCCATTGGTTTTGAATATTTCTCTTAACTGCTTTCCTTTCAGACTTCTATGGCTGAAATATTAATGGGAGTGGGTGGTGTACCATCTTCCAAGGTCTCGTGTGGTCACTTGGCGCACCAGAACACAGTTTGGATGGGAGTGTCCCAACCCTGAATTCACAACAACCCAATGGTGGGCCTTGGGTGGCCTGGGGAAGGCCACATTTACAGACCACGCTTGGGTAGTGGTGGCCCCTAAGGTAGAGATCACACATTTCAGTGGGATACTCTTCCTTGTGTTTCTTGGGTCAACTGCTCCAGCAACCACACTCATTCACTCTGTGGACATCTTAAGCCATAGCCTGGACTGGCTCAAGGCTGCTGAAGCTATTTGAAGTGGTCCTGGTAACATTTTCTTACCCAAATTTCCCCTCTTTGTTACCACTGAAAGAGGGAGCCCCACGGGTGACTTTGTTGCCTTTTCAAACCCCAGACTACATACATGAATGGCGAATGGGTAGGAGTTCTTTGATTCAGGAATGCTCAGGGCAGGCTGGGATTTTTTTTTTTTCAGTAGAAATACAAAATACTTCTGCCTCATATATTCTAACCCCAAGTATGTAGACCCAGCATCTGCCTCATAAATGCCTCTCGAACCCCCAAGTTCCTTGGTCCCACCCCCAGGGTGTGCCCAGAGAGTGGTAGTCGCCACTTCCCACTCCGTGTCTTTAGAGTAAAACTAGCAGGTCATTCTTCCTGTCTCTCAAACATACCCAGAGACACTACCCATGCCCACCCATGTACACTTCTGGGAGCCTGAAACCCTTTAGAAAGCATTTCCAGGCACTAAAAAGTTTGTTTCCACCCCAGAAGACTCACTTTGTCTTTACATGGTGGCCCTGACTTCTTATTTCAAACTAGTTTCTAGACACACCAACTTCAGAAAGGCTGTTTGTGACCCTCCCATCTAAAATCTGTTATCCTGTTACTTTCTATGACTACACTCTGTTCATTTCTTTCACAGGCATAATCTTAATATATAATTTCTTTAGTCATTCCTTCGTTTAGTAATTCAGTATCAGTCTTCCCCACTATCTAATAAGCTTTGTGAGGGCTGAGATAATTTCTCTTTTGCTCACCATCATATCCCCAGGAACTTGCACAGTGCCAGGCACATAGTAGGCCCTGAATAAATATTATTCTAAGTAGTGCACAGACATGCATTCATTCACACATGTGCACACACATGATTACACGCAGACATTCACATATGCATGCACAGTTGCAAATATGTAAACTCTTACAAACACATGCACACACACATGAGAGCATGCACACACCCCACTGAACTTTTTCTTTTTAGTTAGCTATAGAGCATGTATGCTCACCAGAGAGAGACAGACAGAGAAAATAAGGGAAAGTGCAAAGGCACCCCTCAGGGAGGAAGGCCATGCCACAATCTCTTCCTCCATTCTCCTTTCAGGATTTTGGGCATGCACACACATGCTCCCAGTGAGTTTCTCAAGTCACTGGATCTAGGACTGGAACCGCATACTTGACCACGTGGGATCCAGCCACCTTAACCACTACATTGCTGGCTGGCCTCACACTGAACTTTCTATATTGAGGAGAGCAGCAGACTAAGTGGTTAAGAGCAGACTTTGAAGCAGACAGGCTCAGAGTCCAGTCCCAGATCTGCCATTTCCTAGTTGTGTGACACTTAGCAAGTCCCTTCCCCCAAGCCTCTGGGGACTATTGTGAGATTAAATGACACAATCTACTATACAACAGGCACTCCATAAGTGGTAGCCATTACTGTTTTTATTATTAATTATTTCAGTTTATAAATTCACTTCGAGTTTCTTTACTGGTCTGCGACACTCATTGCAACCAACCCAGGAAAATCAAGATGTTAATGAATGCATGAGGCCTGAGAATTCCCCCTGCCTTCAGTCATCTAGTGCCAGAGAAGGGAAGAGCAAGAAGAACTGAGCTGAGAAGCCAACAGTAGCAAAAGTGGCTTTATTTCAGGGCTGGTGTGGAAGATGGTGTATACTGTACCTACAAAAAAGAGATTTAAGAAGCCCTTTTTCATGGGGAATCAGGGATGGCAAAACAAAAGGCAAGGTA